TTCTCCCTGACTAGAACATGAACTTTCCCCACCATTAGGGTTCACCTGGCTGGTTGGGCCTATATCCTCCTAACACTGGAAATATTTAGGGGAAATTTCTTAATAAACCTCTTTAAAGCTTTATTGAAGCTCCTGAATTTCTCTTGGTGCTCTTCTTTGGTATCCTTCCTGCAAATTCTAAATTATGTTCAGCAGAGATTAATGGTAACAACATCATAAAATAAAAGTCCATATAAGGGCTTGCAGAGCAGGGATCAGACAGAGATATATAGATTTTCTCCACCTTTCCCTGTAACTTCCACACACATCCATTAAAAATAATGCTGAAGCACTCTAATAACATCATAAAGGTAAAGGTTCCCCTTGCACATACGTGCTAGTCATTCCTAGCTCTAGGGGGTGGTGTTCATCTCCGTTACAAAGCCGAAAAGCCAGCGCTGTCCGAAGACATCTCCGTGGTCATGTGGCCAGCATGACTAAACACCGAAGGCACACGGAACGCTGTTACCTTCCCACCAAAGTGGTCCCTATTTTTCTACTTGCATTTTTACATGCTTTCAAACTGCTAGGTTGGCAGAAGCTGGGACAAACAACGGGAGCTCACTCTGTTATGTGGTGCTAGGGATTCGAACCACTGAACTGCCAACCTTTCTGATCGACAAGCTCAGCATCTTAGCAACTGAGCCACTGCATCCCTTTATGATAACATCATAAAGTTACATAAAATGTTCCTTATCATTTGTTTTTCTTACTATAATATGTGGGGTGTGATCTAAAGTAGAAAATGTGTTTGTTTGTTTTTAAGATGGGAAATCTTAAAAAGAAGGAACAATATAAATTTAATTATGCTATTCCCCCCCCCCCCAATAGAGGGAAAGAGGGGGCCCCCCCCCCCCCCCCCCCCAGAAGCCACAAAGTGCTCGCTGCCCCTCTGGCACCCGTCAAGCCTCTTCCTTCCTGCTGGGCATGCAAGTGTTTCTGGCAAGGAAGAAGAGAAGCATGGTGGGAGGAGGCTTGGAGGGTGCCAGAGGGGTAGCAAGCGCTTTGTGGTTCCTGGGGGGGGGCGGCACAGGAAATTCTGCCCTCCCTTCACAGGCCAGGGAACACCCAGGAAGGGCTCTGATGCTGCGATCTCCCACGCGCTACTCTCGCTCTCCACACACATCAGTTCATCTGCTGCTGGTATCACGCCTGTTGCCGACATGGGTGCGACCGAGCGGGCATGGGTGGGGCCAACCAGGGGCGATTGTTCGATTCAGTGAACCTAACCGAATCATCCCTACCACCTCAGCCAAGGTGGGCCGAGGTGGTAGAATTTCACCACTGGGACTATCCCTTGAGAGACTGTGTTCAAATCTACCCTCAGTCTTTAAACTTTACTGTCTGACCTTGACCATTCACTCTCTCTAGGCTGAAATTACTTCACAGGGATATCATAGGAGAAAACCAAAGAGGAGGGAGAAATTTGAAATATGCAGTCTCGAACTTCTGAAGGAAAAATGGGATATAAATTTAATAAAAATGCACATTGTTTTCAATGGAAAAGATCCCCCCCCCCACAATTTTGGGAAAAATATACAGAGTTTTCAAAAATGACTGGTATCCATATTCACTAACAAGAAAGGAAAGGAGTCGATACAGATTTTACTCTGCTAGTCATTGCCAACTATAGGGAGTGACGCTCGTCTCTGGCACGAAAACGAAGTCAAAAATTAAACCAGAAATTGTACCTTAAAGAAATGTGAAATTGTTTCAAGAACAAGATAAAAGAACTGATTCAGTTCTAATCAGTGCTTGGTACTGCCTTTTCTCACTTCAAAAGGAAACATCCCTTTTTCATCATGAGCTTTGAGTCATAAAATGAATACACTTCCCACACCAACAATCTCCTTTTCACACAGAAATGGTTAATATGTGCCTTCAAACAATACCTTGAGATCAACAGGGCCTATGGTGTTTTGTCTAAACCACGGGTGTCAAACTCGCCACCTCAGGTGGCCGTCAGAGCTGAGTTGGGCGTGGCCTGCGTGTGACACATCCGGCCCACAGGCCGCCAGTTTGACACCTCTGGTCTAAACAATTAAATCATGTTGTGCTGAATACATGGGAGAAATGCATAAAACAAAGTGAGACAAAGAAGAATAACAAGAGTCAGCTTTCATTTTAAGACATCATTCAAAGAGTAATGAGTAAAGAGTAATACAGATAGTACAGATACCATCGAGGGAAAAACAAGGGAGAGAGGATTGGGATGAAGGCCTCCTGACTGCGAGAAGGGAAACCAAAAAGGATCAAGCAGCAGTTTAAGAAGAATAGTAAAAGATCCAACAATAAAATACAATTAACCCCTTGGCAATAACAATAGGGATTTTCTGATGCCATAAAAAACCCCTAGCCGTCATGGTTTTGTAGTATCAAACAGTAATCAATCAAGTCCTGAATTATTGAAGGTTATTTTTAGGGGAAATAATTTGAAGCATGCTCTGTTTTGTGGATTTCCAAACACAAGCACAGAAAATATTAGAAGACAGAATAAAGAAAGGAAGTAGAGAATGCTCTTCTGAAAAATTATTGTGTAAATGTCTCCCTTCCCTTTCCCTTTCCCCTATTCCTTCCACCCTCCCTCCTTTCCTTTCCTGTGTGTTCACAAAAAGCTGTACTGGTGATCAAAGGAGAAAAATCTTTTTTTTTTCATTTTTCAGAAATGTATGGCTGGCTGCATAAGGATGGAGGCATTCTCAGAAAATTGCTGCTTACAAATTTTTGTGCAAAATGACCTGATGCTTGTCCTGATAAGGTGATCAGAAGTTACTATCCACTAGACTAGACTAGAGAATAGATAATTCTTGATAACAAAGAAGGCATGCTATTTCATTTTTACTCATAAACCTTTGGTTAATGAAGGGCTACATAACAGATTCTCAAAGTGGGAAGGTTGGTATAAGAGATAAAGCTAAGGGGCCTGGAATGCTACTTCCTTGTTAGGATAATACAGAATCTTGAAACCCCTATAGAGATTTTCTCTATAAGCATTAAGGTGGGGGTAATCTTGGTTTTTTAAAAAAAATTTACCTGCTTCTGTTTATTTGGGCTAAGCTGATATTTACATAATAGTTATTGAATTTCTTCTTCAAGATGATCTCTGTACTCTACAATTCAGCTTTACAGAAATGAAGTAGCAAAGTCCCTACCTCACAATTTAAGATAAGCATGCACGCGCACACACACACACCATTTTGGGCCTGGATGGTCTCCTGCAGCACTCTAGAAGTCAAAATGGAGCATGAGGAGACTCCGCACAGCCCCCGCCCCCCATGCACATTTTGGGTCTGGACAGACTCCTGCAGCACTCTGACAGCCAAACTGGGGCCCGCTGTTTTGGCTGCCAGAGTACCGCAGGAGGCCATCCTTGACTCAGAAGGTTATAAAAGGGAAGAAAAGTAAAACATTTTACCTTTCAGGCTTGCAGGATTTTGCTACTATAGCCTATATCCGTGATGGCGAACCTATGGCACGCAGAGCCATTTGTGCTGGCATACGAGCTGCAGGAAAACTTACCTCACTGCGCATGCACGCCGCCCCTCACAGCTGATTTTTTCCCCCTGATTTGAGGCCTTTTTTGGACTCCCAGAGGCTTGGAAAAAGCCTCTGCAAGGCTTTTCAGGATGAATTATAGGCCTGTTTCGTCACTGTAATACCGGAAGTGATGAAATGGGCCTATAATTCATCCTGAAAAGCCTTGCAGAGGCTTTCCCCAAGCCTCTGGGAGACTGAAAAAGGCCTCAAACCAGCTGAAAAATCAGCTGTGAGGCACAGTGCAGGTAAGGGGGTGGGGTGGGGAATGCACATTGCATTCTGGGTGCTGGCACGCGCTGGTGCATGTCAATTTTTGGCACAGGAGCCCAAAAAGGTTAGCCACCACTGGCCTATATCAATAATTTATAGTTCTAGTCTTCTTATGGAGTCAGTTTCTTGATCTGGTCTCTCTCGCATTGGGTGATCAAGTAGATCAAGTATGTATTAAAAAAACAAAATCACAGATGTACGCCTCTCCATTTTTACAAGTGTATAAAACCATGTGTGCGGAGGTGTGGTCCTGTGTCACGCCTACCATGATCATGCCCACCCCAGCCATGTCCCCCACACACCCCAGCCCTCTGAGATCAAACACAACCTTGATGTGGCCCTCAATGAAATTGAGTTTGACACCCCTGGTCTAGTTTAATGAAAGGAAGGACTAGATGACATGATGGCAGCATTCCAATATCTCAGGGGTTCACAACGAGGGTGTCAAGCTATTCTCCAAAGTACTAAAGGCAGGACAAGAAGCAATGGATGGAAACTCATCAAGGACAGAAACAATGTAGAACTAAGGAGAAATTTCCTGACAGAACAATTAATCAGTGGAACGAGTTGTCTCCAGAAGTTATGAATGCTTCAACATTGGAAGTTTTTAAGAAGAGATTGGACAACTATCTGAAATAGTATAGGGTTTCCTGCCTGAGCAGCGGGTTGGACTAGAAGACCCCCCAAGGTCCCTTCCAACTCTGTTGTTCTGTTCTAGAACAAAATGTAGCCACAATTGTATGTCAATGGCACATGAGTTTCTACAGTTGAAGATTGACCTAATATTGATTTAAGAGGCTATGACTGAATCAACTACAAATTTATAAAATATAGCAACTGCTGACCAGAAGAGAATGTAGGTGTAGTGAGTAAGGAAAATAATCCTGATGAAGATAAATAAACTCTCTGGCTGCCAAGGTGTCAACAACAACCAGGTAGCATTGGGAAGTTGTTTAGACAGGCTTCTTATTTACTGAATTACAAGTCAGGAGAAGAGATACAACATAATCAAACTTGGATTCTGTTATTATAGCAAATTTCAATAAAAGTAGCTTTAACCTTTCTATAGAATTGATTTTTTAAAAATTTGGTTTGCCTAGTAGGGCTTATAGTAGAGGCCCAGCAGCCAAGAATGAAATGGTTTCACTAAGCAGCAATCAACTGTTGGAATGGTATGTGCACACGAATTTCTGCAAGTGTTCTGAGTTGTGGCTGCTAGTAGAACAGAATTAAACAATTAAGAAGGATTGGGATTGAAACTGGAAATCATGAATGTTAGGTGCATTTGTAACGTAACGTAATTTGTAATGTAATGGGAGGAAGAGGATGTTATCTATTCTTGTTTGCAGTAAAGACATAAATGGCCAAGCAGGATCTGCCCTCAGGCTGGTGGTATCTTTTGAAAAGGGGGAATAATTTATTTCTAGGTTAGATCTATTCCACCTGTCCTCCACTATCAAAGTTACCAACATTTGTCTGATGTTGGAAGTTGATATGAATTAGCCCACATGTGTCAAACTCAAGGCCCATAGGCCAGATCCAGCCCATGGGGTGCTTAGATCTGGCCCATGGGGCCAACCTGGAAACAATGAAGGACCGACCCGCAGTGCCTCTGCCAGCAAAAATGGACCCCAGGAAGGCCAGAGGCAACCCTACGAGGTTCTGTTTTCACTGGCAGAGGACTGCAGGAGGCAGTCACAGATTAAAATGAAGCCCTGGAAGGGTGTGGCCCTCCCGGGGTCAGTTTTCATTGGCAGAGAGCTGCAGGACATTGATTTGGCCATGCCAACCCTGGCCATGCTGACCTGCCCGCCCAGGTCAAACACAACCCTGATTGTGGCCCTTAATGAAATCGAGTTTGACACTGCTGAATTAGCCAAAAATTGTATATTTTAAAAGAGAGTGTCAGCTGTGCCTCCATTCGAAATCCAAGAAAGAAAACTTTAGACACCATTAAAATAGAGAGACTTTTACTGGGTTTGAAGTGATAGTAATGAAAGGAAAGCAAGATCTGAGGCAAATAAACATGGAAATTACATATGGAAAGTTATCCCAAATCCCCTCACCCAGTAGTTCAAACTGGACATCCAATCTGAGGTGTGTATAATGTCATGTGGGGTACATCTTCAGGTGGTGTCTCACACATCTGGTATGTCAAGACGGTTGACCTTGGCCTAGAAAAGATAAGTGGATGCAGTTGCGCAGAAAGCAGGAAAGCGTCCCATCTTTTTCAGTTCACACAACTTCGTCCTCCAGCACCCTTCCCCCTCAATACCAAATTATCCCTCCCCCTCCATTTCCATGGCAGCAGGCAAGAGTCAAGCAGTAAAAGTTGTCAGGAAAAGTTTCTTGGAGGCTGACAGAGAGGGAAATCTGATTATTTGAGCTGTTTTTCACCCAACCACTCTTAGAAAATGAGAAATGCCACCTGACACCCACTTGTGCATCTCACAGGCTTCACTTTCTACATCCTAGTTCACTCATCCCATCTAAGATAATATAGATTTGTGGATTTGGGATAAATATCAGCCACATTTTGTCCTCCCTCTCTTGTTTCCATACCACACCTGATGAAAAGTTCTTGAGGATTCAAAAAATGCACATCTTGTGACCTTGAGTGTTTCCATATAATTTTGGGTATACTGGCAGGATATGAGAACCTATGCCTACTATTCAGAAAGTCTTTGCTTTAGGAAATTGTATGCTGTTTTGCAGACAGATATGCCTAACCTACAATATCAATTTTTGGCTTAGAAATATCTATGGAAATCACATCCCAGGAGTTGAAATTAGGACAGGGATGAATCATGATCCTTTGTGGTAATCTTCAACAGGAGGAAGAAGCATACTCTGCTTTGGAAGGCTGGTGGTTTGCATTTAACTGTTGTTATAATATGATTTTTATTTGATTGTTAAATGGCTGGATGACTTTTTTTTTTTTTTTGCAAAATCACCATATAAATCCTTAGGGGTCCATGTGTGCATTTGGCCTTCTCAAAGCTGTCTTTGTTCTGTCATCTCACAATGACAAAATGTCCTAGCTAGTGATTAAAGTGATGTTTCATATAAGGTTTGTATATATTCATATTCCACAGTGTTTTATTTTATAGCATATACTGACAATGTAAGATAAACAATAAAGTCAATTTTAAAACAATTGTGCTTAAAATGCAGACACAAAAATTTCCCCCTGGAATAAAAATACATTTTTATTCCAAGATTCTCTTGAATTGAAAGATTAAAAGAATTTATGAGATCACTTAAACCAAAATATGAATGGATTGCTTGTTATTTCCAGATTCTTTAAAATAATCACATCTCATCTCTCAGCAAGAGATATAGCTTGTGGTTTAGTAAAATGGAAACTAAACCAATTTCTGGGCTAAATGACTAGAGCATAGAAGTATCTGAAAAAAAAAACCTATTGTAACCTATACTAATGTTTAATGGTGACAATATGATGAATCATGCACAATTACTTAAGAAACTTCCTCCATTTGGATATGTCTCTGGTCAGCCCCACTCGCTAGACCAGATTAAGAAAGCCCCTCCCAAGGAAAGCTAAAATTGTGATAATAGCGGAATCTTGCAAGTCTGATTTTGTGATACCTGTCAGGTGCAAAGAGTCAATGGACTTCAAAGGGAAGCTTATGGGAGCATAGACTCCAAACTGATGATGTATTTGACACCACCCTCAGCCTCAGCCTGCTCATCTCTTACATCACTAATTCCTCCTCTTTTTTATACAATAGAGAATCAGGAAGTTGCCTGCCTGAGCTGCTTCTGAATGTTATCTTATTCTAGACTTAAAGTATGTCCATCCCTTTGCCAAGGCAACATCTGTCAAGATCATTTCCCTTACTCTCTACATCCCCCCACTGTCCTGAAACTCAGCAAAAAGAATGAGATATTGAAAACTATACTGTCCTATTCACCATATCAGTATCTGAGGGGGAAAGCACAAGCTCTTTTAGTCCCAACTATTTTCCAAATAAATATAGTAGCTGTGCAGGATTTTCAATTGATCTTGAATCATATATAAGTTTTAACAATGGTTGACCAAATAACTGTTACTAGACAATCCATGCACCATTGGGTCATTGTTTCAGAGATATTTCCTTACCTAAACAGAAACAGAATGAGCAAGAGTGGGCAAAAAAAACTGAAGGTAGGAGTGATTTCTTCTTTGTGGGAATCTGACAGGGAGTATCAGAAATCCTCTTCTCTTCTCTTCTCTTCTCTTCTCTTCTCTTCTCTTCTCTTCTCTTCTCTTCTCTCCTCTCCTCTCCTCTCTCCTCTTCTCTTCTCTGTCCTTTCCCTTCCCCTCTCCTTTTTCCTCTCCTCTCCCCTTCCTTCCCATTCTGAATAGATAGGTAAGTGGCTGGGAAGCTGTCATGGGACATTGAAAATGAAGATTACATGACCCAGCTACAGCCCAGCAGAGTAGTAGCAACCAGTAGCATTGAAGCAATCATAACTTCCTCAAATTTCATTCCTCCAGGAGTCTTAGATCTCAGATTCTGAACACATTCTGCAAGTTAGCCCATTTGAGGTACCTTGACTCAAAAAATGTTGCCCTATAATGCACTGTTTTTGCCAGTTAAAGGTCATAACAATGAGATTTTTAATAGTGTATGGATTACTGGGCTGGAAGAAAAATCACAACGTCCTCCTTTGCAAAATCTTTTACTCCATATCCTAGTATCAATGAAACATGTGTTTTGTTTCTAACACAAACTAATCATAGGAAATACAAGCAAGAAAACATGTATCAGAATGACATCAAGACACAGTGGAAGTTTAATAAGGTGCTATAAAGAGGTAGAATTCAATAGTTGTCATATTCGGTTTGGTTTATGCCTTCCTTGGAAAAGGATAATGGCACTTGGAGATCTGAAGTCTTTCAAATGTTGACAACCTCCTTAACTAACTATATTGGGGCTTTAGTAGAAACACAGATTAATTAAATGTATTTCAGTAAGTCTCCTATTGTTGTAGATAGCCATGGCAGAAATGGTTACACACACACACAAAAATATACTTTATATCCAGGAAATAAAGTATGAGAAAGAAACTCACTCTTGTGGTACCCTAATTAATTACTGTATAATACAAGTGGAATGGAGGGGAAAACTCAGTTAACTTTCCAGACTCTGTTTCTAAGCTATGTCAATAATGTATTGTACACTCAAACTTGTGGAACCTGACTTGTGGAACCTGACTTAAAGAACTGAGAGTTACTTTGTTGGTAGATGGGAAGCACTTGCTATCTCTGGTCTTAAATAAAGCTAAGCAACATTGGTCCTCATTAGATTTCTCATAGGAGATGACCAAAAACTCCCTGGTCCAGTTTATGGTCCATATTAGGAAACAATATCAGAAAGAGACATAACTACTACTTCTTGTTTACTTCTACTTGCTCTTGTGGAAACATCATGTGGTGGGACTTGCTTCTTTCACCATGAATATTTTGGAGGTTTGCAATGTTTTCACTAGCTGCAGAGAAAAGACGTCAAGAGGCAACTTCATTGTTCAACTTCATTAGCTGCCATGCCTGGAAGTGATAATTTTTGATGCCTTTTTGCAAATTGAAATTCCCACAAAAATCAAGTCTAAAAAAGCCTACATTTGCTAAGCTCCTGATGAAGTTCTTTCTTGGCTGTCAATCACTGTGGAAGTAACATGAGGTAGAAGTTTCATTATTTCTCCTTATTTGCTTTCAAGCTGATTCAGATTTTGATTTCCCAGATGGATTCTAGTACATGCTCTCAATACAGTCCATGCTGAACATAACTTCATTTTTGTTTTGGATACCTTAGTAGCTACTTTGCCTTCTCTTTGCGTTTTGAAAATATGTAGGCTATTAATGAGAATTCCTTATGAATTCTGTTCCTATTTTGCTGCCACAACGCAATGCTTTTTTATCTGTAACCCCAGGCTGCAACTTTTAAATAGGTAAAAGTGAGAATATCAGCAAACCCAGGTTATTGTGAATACAGAATACAGAACTACAACTAATCCAACGTAATACATTCATTTCAACATTACAACGCAAACTCTTATAAAATTAATCCAAGATGGCTGCAAATATTTTTGCAGTTAATATATTGTGGCATTGTAACACAAGAGAAACTCTACAATCAATAGGTTGTTAGAAAACAACTATG